ACAGAAGGTCTGGTTGATACATGGAGACACCAGCTTTTACATGTCGTGCTCAGTGAGCAATTTTTATGCTCCTGTGTCTGGGAGAGAGAAGGAAAAATACCTCCACTGTATCTTATAATGAACAATATGTTTTAGATGTGGTCAATTAGTTAGTGAAACATCAACCTAACTGCCTGACATCTAATGACAATTAAATAATTAATTTGAGATATTTTTCTTACAAATAGAGACGTGTTCTCTGACTTCAGCTTCTCAAAAATAAATATTCCTAATGTTGGTCCTCTGTAGACTGAATACTTTTGGTTTAGGGAAAATCACAACATTTCCACAATTTTCTGCATTCGGACCAAAAGATACATTTGTATTGCAATGTTGACTTATATTACTAAACATGGTCACATTTCTTTTTATTTGTAGTCATAATACTAGGTTGTCAGAACCATGTACCACAATGAGTGTAAAAATGTCCAATACGACTTTAAATAACATACATATTATTGCACATAAGCAACACTACACATTTGCACATTTGTGTATTTATCTCATAAAAAATAAAGTCATCAGTACAAACAATATTTTGTTTTTACAAGGTTATTTACTCTTAACAGCTCAAACAGCTTAACGAGAGAAACAGCTGTTGTGTTATACTGTTTAACTCCCACACTGATGCATTAACTTCAACGCTCAGACCTTGTTAATGTGATATTTATCAGGGGTTTATATTCACACACCACCTGCTTCCACAGGATGATTCATCAAATCCACTAACTGGCGAATGCAAGGTGTTAAAGGACGTGTGCTACTGATTCCTGATGGGAGTGATGTCACTCATTCAGACACCAGGCAGACACAAAGCCCTGACCTTAAAACTATACCCCCTTTTGGCCCGTGGTCCTGTTGATTTCCCCGGGTTAAGGAGGTTGGGTGGAGAGTAGTAGGGGATGGAGGCTGGAAAGGGGCAGGGGAAGCAGATGGCATCCTATTTGTCCCTTATGTGAGGGCTGTCATTCCAACAGATTAATGTGAGGGCCGGGCCGAAGAAAAGAAACGACAGAGACAATCAAGGAAGGGTCTGAGGAAGACAATAGAGCCACGTGCCACTGGGCAGATTTGTCGTTTGAGACACAATAGGTGATCATTTTTCAATGGACAAGGCCAACTGTTGCAGGCAGCATGTGCTGCTGTCCCATGTTTCAAATCATCTCATGTGTTGTTTACTTATGATTCAGCCAATGGCTACAGAGGATTCATGGTCATCTGACACGCAGGGGTGAATTTTTTATTAGAGGATTTTGTGTGCATGCGTGTCTGTGTGTGTGTTGGGTGGGGGCTGAGGGTGTGTACTTACTGCACTGCTCACAGACCCCAAAAGTAACTGAATTGTATGGGTTGTCATAGCAACTCCAATTACCAATCCCTGGTTCTGCGCTGAAGAGACTGAAGCGGATTCAAGAGCGGACTTCCCTTTTCTCTGGTTCTCTCAGCTAATAAAAGCTGTAATGACACAACGCTGATCAGTGCAGACAGTTCAGTTCACTGGTTAAACACCAAATCTAATTAGTAATAACAAGTTGGTAAAGTTACTGAGGGAACAGTTTTGAAATGTGAACTTAAATCTTAACTGAAAGTTCATTATATTCTAAGGTCGCTGACAAAAAGCTTAAGATTGTCAAAGTTTACTATGTAGTAAAACAAAAAGATAACATTTTAAGAAGATTTTTTTTTTTTGTGAAAGGAAACGTTTTCATTGTTCATTTACACCATCATTGCTCAACAGATTCTGAGCTAAAAGAGTTTCAATGACTTCACTTTCTAGATTAATCTCTTAATTTTTTAATTCTGTAAATTTGTGGTTTCGTTTACATTTAAAATCTTGTACACCCCCTCCAACCCACCAACAACCAACCATCAACCAAGCAATCTCTCCCCTCCCCCTTACCCTGTAGGCTTCTGACCACGGATCCCTCCCAGCTGAGGGAGGAGGACCTCCCTGGGGACCTGCAGTCTCTGTCGTGGCTCACCTCCGTAGATGTGCCCAGAATACAGCAGATGGCTGATAGCCGGGGACATAGTAACGGGCCCTCCCAGGGCAGTTTGCTGGAGCAACAGACAGGTGAGGTGTCGGGGAGGAGGGACAGTGCATCATTTAAAAATCCACAGCATCTATCTGATTGGATAAAACAGCAGCCCTGGATTCTTCTGAATTTATTGCCCCCCTGCAGATATGAAAACAGCTGCGTCTCAGGGTGTTTGCTCTGAGATGTTTTGATTAGGAAGCTTTTGTACATTTCATTGCATAGAGGAAAAATATTTTTTAAAAATAAAATAAAATAAAATAAAATAAAAAAATATTTAAGTATTTTCACAAAACCTGCCAACAATTATTTTAAAAATATAATAACCCTTGAAAAAAGTGTGGTTTATATTCTAAATATAAATGTATAAAAACTTTGTACAAGGTCTGGTCTGACACTTAAAAGCATCATTAACTTACAACTGACAAAGCAAAAGCACTAAATAATATAAACAGATTCACACAGTCCCTGATAGAAGTAGAAAACTAAATATGTCAACCCCAAAATACAAAACTAAAAAAGTCACTGGTGAAAGATTTCAGTTTAGTCTGAAACTAAAACATTATAAAGAACACACTGAGGAATGGACGGTAGATATTTTCATCATCCTCCATGTATGATGACAATAACAATGCAGACTGGAGGTTACAATCATTTTGTTACATAAGACAAACTCACTGATCCACATCTGCCTGTGAAAGGTGCATAACACAAAGAACACTTCCCCCACAGTGAAACCTGTGGAATATTGTTGAAATTGCAACAAAGAAGTAAAACAATATTTTGTTAGGTTCTTCTTCTTCCTTTTTTCTATTTCAACAAAACCGAAAAACCCAAAGCACATTTCAAAACTGATGAAGAATGATCATTCACCAGCAGATCAAAGTGACTGTTGACTGATAAATGAGTTCTGTAATCTGATACACTGAATAATCTGAGAAGTGACAACAACATCAGGATCCATGTCAGATATAAATGACAGCAGTCTGTTATTCAGCTGCTACACGGCTCATAATTCTGGACTACAGCAGGCTCTGTGGGATAACTTTGGTTCTTAATGCAAAGTTAGAAAAAGATAAAATAAAGTAAATATAAAATAAAGTATATAAATTAATAAATATATAACAGGAATATTGTCTAAACTTATCAAATCTCACACCTATGCCCATATTTATATGAGATTAATGTTTATCCTGCTTTTTTTATAACCAATGTTTATATGAAAACTACTGTGATAGTGTTTATATTAAAGAAATACAAAATAAACCAAACAAAAACTGAACATTAATCAAATAAATGGATTGCCAATTACATAAATATCACAAATATATAATACATGTGACTTTCATCACCCCGACCATCCATTAAAATGTATTAATTATATTTTATTTCAACGTTTTGACATTTTACGTTGTTTTTACGATGCTGTTCCATGTATTTTTTATCAAGTAATTAATAGTACTGTACTTAACTGATACTAAAGAATGTAAGATGAGATACAGTCATCTTACATTCTTTAGTATCAGTTAAGTTATCAAATGGAGTACATATTAAGATCTCTTGTTCTGCCTATTTCTGCTGTGCTCCTAACAGCTCAGCTCAGCAGTCTGCCCATGCCAACAGGACAGAGCTCCATGCTACAGCTGCATAGCACCATGCAGCACAGCCCTTTGGGGATCAGCAGGGTCAACACACACAGTGGAAGTGTAAGTTTTCACAGCAATTCAAAGTTGAGAAATACTCATGTTGTGTATTGCTTTCTGTAAGTAGTCACTCCTGTGTTTGTTCCACAGATGTCTCCATACTCCATGAATGGACTTCCTTCTCCAGCTTACCAGTGCCCTTCCTCAGTTTACCAGTCCACACCTCAGCAGGTCTTCTCTCTAACACAAACTGCACAACAGGTCGGTGGCTAATGAACCTGAATATTTTAGGTCGGGGGAAAACGAATGTCACAGAAGAGATTATAATTATTTCCCATCTTTTCCATTTTCTATTTTTCTTTTTTTTTTACCAGTGTTCGACAACTGGACTTTACAGCAACGTCCCCTTCAGTGACCAAAGTCTTTACTCACAACCTCGGCTGGCTCCACAGGACCAGGAGCTGCAGCCCAAGTCCTTCCCGAAACCCATCTACTCCTACAGGTCAGCTAACACACAGATAACTCATTATGTATTTGTTGTTTCCCATTTTTTATATTGTAAACAAATGTCATTTAAACCACTTTTCTTCTTTAGCTGTCTGATTGCCATGGCTCTGAAAAACAGCAAAACTGGCAGCCTCCCAGTCAGTGAGATTTATAGCTTTATGAAGGAACATTTCCCCTACTTTAAGGTACAATCAACTATCAACGTCATGTGTCAAATCTAGAAGAGAACGACACTGGGCTGATTACTTACTAATTCTTTCTTTCTCTGCAGACGGCACCTGATGGATGGAAGAACTCAGTCAGACACAATCTGTCCCTAAACAAGTGCTTTGAGAAGGTGGAGAACAAAACAAGCAGTTCCTCCCGTAAGGGCTGTCTGTGGGCACTGAACCCTGCCAAAATTGACAAGATGGAGGAAGAGATGCAGAAGTGGAAACGCAAGGACCTGCCAGCCATCCGCCGCAGCATGGCTAATCCTGGTAAGATGTTCACTCTCCCACCAGATTGTCTTGGACTCGGCATCAGTCACAAACAAACTATACCTGACCTAAGCCATATTTAATGTTGAAATGTTAATGAAAATCTCTCACAATCAAAGTGTTAGACAAATTTACTCACAACAGTTTGTTTAAACTTTTAACTCTGTACAGTTTTGTCTCTGTTTCTTAACACAGTAAGTTTATAAATCTCATAGAGTTTGAATTTGACCCAAAGATTTCATGTCAAAGGACAGGTCACAGAGGGAAAAGTGCAAAATCAGTGGATCCATTTTGTAGCTGGGACTGTTGTTGAGCCTCCTTCATGTTGACACCTTCATAACCTTTTCTTCAAAACGTTACTGAACTTTATTTAAAACCACTGTAGCATCTAAAGGACTGTTGTTCCCAATTAATAAAGGAAGGACAATTACAAGTCAGGGTGTTTTCCCCGATAAGGGACAAACACCAGAACATTATGGAGGAAATCAATTTGTTGGCTCCTAACTTTTGAATGTCCAGTTCTAAGCATTTTAAGTCTGAATCACTTCTGATGATAAAGCAAGCTTCATTGGCTACAGACCCTGAGTAAGGACTCAGTTCTAGTATCAACCACAGATGTTCTGAGACAGCAGAAATAGTTAAGGACGGAGTGAAGAAGGCAAAGCAGTTAAACTATAGCAGTGGAAATACTGCTTTATTGTCAAATGTTTTTCCCCTACTTGTTTCTCTACAGTCTTGTCCGACAGTGTTGCTCTAAATATCATAGAAGGGCAAAACTGTAAAATAAACATATCAGCACACCTTGACTTTGAGTCTAATCAGTCTTTTCTTCTGCTCTCTGTAGATGAGTTGGACAAACTGATCACAGACCGCCCAGAGAACTGCAGACGGAAGATTCTAGAGCCTGGCCGGGCCAGACTACCGGGCTGTCAAACTGGACTCACACTGTCTGTGCCTACACCGATGCAGCCCCAGTCTATAGTCACTCTGTCCCTCCCACATTTACCCCTACACCAGCACCACCAGTTCCAGGCCCAGCTCCAGGCTCAGGCACGGTTGGCCCCTATGTCCCCGGCACCAGCCCAGACACCTCCCCTGCACACAGTTCCTGACCTTTCCCACAGTCCACTTAGTCAGCAGCTGGGTAAACACCCAGAAGACTTCTACAGCATGCACAGTGACACCAATACAGAGGTGGATGCACTGGACCCCAGCATCATGGATTTTGCTTTTCAAGGTAAACAACACTCTTTGGCATTAGACCACTTTTTGGAAGAGGGGGTGAAGAGAGGTGGGGGGCAGGGGGATAAATGTGAGTGGCCATTGCTTTTGTTTGAATGCTGGGTTTTCAAATGAGAGCCTGATCACACAACACTGCTGATTATGTTCACTATTTTCACAAAGTCACCAATGTTTATAAGTGTCATGATGACAGTGACAGTAATACATTGTTCTGACAAATATTAAACAAATCAGATATGAGTCACGCAGAGACTAATCATATAGTCTCACTCTTCTATTTTACTTCTCTCTGTCTCTGTGATCTTATTTCATTTTTAAAGATTAATTAGGATTAATTTTTAGTAATAGAGAATGAACCTAATGAGACATTGAGTATTTTGACAAAAGCTGACAAAGGTTATACAGTAAGGACACATTTACATAGATTTACTTAAAGGACAAATTCAACACTGTGTTCACATGTTCGTTAGAAAAATATATAGTTGTTGATATGTGTTAATAAGAAGACTAAAAGTGCCCTCAGGACATAACTATCACTCTCCATGTGCTCAGGTAATCTGTGGGAAGAGATGAAGGACGACAGCTTTAACTTGGATGCTTTGGGCACCATCACTAACTCGCCCCTCAGATTATCAGACTGTGACTTGGGAACTACCAACAACCCTCCAGCACCCACTGGTGTGAACCTGCCGCTATCTGACCTACAGGTCACAGGCCTCTACACTTCCTACACATCCCAAGACCCTCTGACAACGCAGTATCTGAATACACCAGTCAACAACAAGCCAATCGCCTTGCTTTAAAGGAGCCAAAGTGAAAGAAAAAAAATCACTGACTCTTGGGGAAAAAAACCTGCTGAGTGGCGTACGGAAAAGCCTAGTTTATGCTCTCGTTCTGTACGTACATATTTCCAAACTTCGCTGTCCACATACTGCATTACGTCTTTCTTGTGGTATGCGTTTAATGTGCATACATGAACTATTGTGCACAACACCACCCCCGCAATTTCCTGTGGTACTGATCTGTTTCACGCACAGGGGTACGTTTCGCATGCTGTCCAAAATATCCATATCCATGTCCATATCCAATTAAACACATAATGAACGCAACGGACATCATAAACTAGGCTGAAGTCTGCATGCTTTGTGGAAAACATGGATTGATGTCAATGTACAAAACAGAAAAAAACATAAACTGCAAAAAACAAGATTTGGTAGCAAAAAAAAAACTGTCTTCAATATCAAACTTTTGCTAAGCAAAAACTCAAAAGTGTGTATGAAAATAAGGACTCGACATGGAGATGTACGTGTTCATTAGACTCTACCACTTTTTCCTGCTTGTTTCCATCCATACTTTAACCCTTCATCTTCCTGTCTGTTGTGTTGTGCTAGACATTGTTACTGTGGCATTTTATTTATATTGAAAAAGGCAGCCGGAGACAGTGATGACTCAAGGTCAATCTTTTGCTGTATATATGTGAATGATGAAAATGTTTTACAACAGAAAATGGTTTTGACTGTATTTACCAACTTCATTCCAAAAGGCAAACATGAATGTGTGTGCGTGTAAAGACAGATACTGCATTATTCTTCTACACACTGTGATTAACATGTCTGTAAACACAGTGTATAATTATCTTCAATATCATGACCATAATACAAATCACATGGGTGAATTAAAAAGTACTTTTTTGCTGGAAAATCTGTGGATTTCTTTTATTATCAACCCTTGACAATAGGCAAACATTTTTACATTCATTCAAATCAAATGTCTTGTCTGGTATTTGTGTTACGCTGGCAAAAATAAGGCAGGTAAAGACATCAAAAGGAGAACCATTTTGCCTTGAAATACTCACCTTTGACAAAACCTTAGTCATTAGAATTGCTTTAAATACAGTGACGAATATGTATGAAATTCCGAAGAATCACATGCAATGTCATATTAACAGCCTCTGTTCATATACATGTCTTTTTAGCACATTAGGACAAGGAATTGACATCAGTGAAATCGCAAAAAACATCTGCACATTAAGAAACAGTGGTAATAGAAAAATAACCTCAATTTTTTTGCATTGTTTTGCATTTTAATACTTTTAAATTCTTATTTCAGTATCTGCAGAAAAATGACTTAATTCATTATAGTATTGCATCAGAAAGGACATTCTCATCTATGGTTTTCTTTAAATAAATGTCCAGTGTCTACACAAGAAGTAGTTGGTGAATAACCCTGACAATACCAGACCATTCAGAGCCTCTTAGAATACACCAATATACAATTGTACTCTATGTACAAACATGCAATGTAAAAGACAATCATACTACGTAGTGATGTGTGAAAAACATAAGGCACCACATGAACTTGTGCTTCTTAATCGATTGCCCCCAATATAAACCCACACAATTATATCCTTTAAATCCATGAACAGTTCCACTTAGCGAACTAAAGCAAACTATTACCTTTATTTAAATACTATATATACCTTGGTAAACCCCTGAGATTAACTGGTGCTGGTGTTGTCCATAGTAGTGATAAGGTGTAAGAGCTTGGCCCTCTGGCATGGAGTGATGGTCTGACTCATGTGGATGATGCAGTCCATGGCTACGTCAGGGTTGGCCTCCACTAGGCTGGAGAATGGAGGAAATTTGAACACAATAATTGAAGAAACAGAATGACCTGCAGGTTGCATTTAGTGACTAACACATGGTTTAGAAAACCTACTAAGGTTTAAAAGGAGAAAAACAAATGTAAAGGACATGTGACCTTTCAATTTGAACTAATATGAACTTGGTATGATTGTTGAAACATTGCTGAGTGTATTCTGGTGTGATTTACTCTCAAAAGTACCTTTTCAGGGAGGTAGGTGCAGGGTAAAAAGTGTGTGTGTGTGTGCAGATGATTACCTGCGGATGTGTTTCAAAGCGTTCTCTCTTTTTAAGTACTTGATGTTCTCTCTGATTGCTGACTGACAGCCTTCCTCCTTGGATAAATGTTTTTCAAGCCATTCAACAACAGCTTGGTTATTATCCCAGAGGTAGGCCTGAGAAAGAGAACGGACACAATTCAATACTTTGGATAGACTAGATGGATACATCAGACTCTTTATTGTCATCCATGCACCAACAGCACACAGGAACAAAATTATTTTACATTTTGTTGGTTCTGACATTTGCAGAAACTCTTCACACACCTTTACTGTTCCCTCCGTCTCAACAAACCAGCGTCGCAGCATGGATTGCACATGTCCATCTCTGAGGTCCTTGTTGGCCTGCAGAATCTCACGTTTAACAATCTGCTCCAATAGAAGGCGACGGAGACGCCAGTAGAAAAAGGACCGGGCATTCTTCCAATCCAAAATGTCCTTGAGACAGGAATGAACCAACAATGAGGATTTCAAAAATTGTAAAAGACTCAACCATCAGGTTGGTGGAGAGAGATTTAGTTACAGTAATGGCGCCTTTCTCCTGCATCCTTCCTGGAGTGTCATGAAGGTCTACAAACTGCACTGCCACCTGGTGGTATATGGGCAACAGGATTTCTTCCCTTGCTTTTAGCTTTGACTCCAGTTCTTTACGCTGTTTTTCAGACAACTCTAGAGAATCTGGTAGAAACAGAAGGGCTCAATATGACTCTATAATGACCAATGCAACAAAGTTGGTAATATGGCTTTGGCAGTCCATATTTTTGTTTGTTGTTTGTTTTTACCAAGTTGTTCAGCCAGACTAGCATAGGTTGAATCAAGTCTTCTCATGGTCTTTAGGATGTCTTTCCTCCTGAACTTGATCTCCACCGTCCCCTCAGCCTCCAGCACTCCTCCTCTGAGCAGAGTAATGTCAAGTTTAGGTTTTTTTTAAATATCTTTACAACAAAATCTTAATAACATGACAGACTCCTCCACCTGCTCTCTCTGTCAGCGTACAGCTCCATATACAGTGGGTTGATGGTGGGGTCAATCACCACCCATGACCCTCCCCTCAGTTCGGCATGTGGTGGAATGTAGACCAGTACTGGCTGATGGAATCCACGCAAAGCATCCACAATGTAGGCTCCAAACTTTAATACCTGGTCATACATGTCTAAAAATGAAAAGTAATTCAATTATAATCTCAACATTCCTGTGTTATTTACAGTCTCGTTGTATAGTTTACCCTTCATTCCACCAGAGAAGCCCCTCCAGTTTGCAAACAGCATGAGAGGCAGATGTTCACGGTTGAAGTCACCAATCGCCTGGGCAGTTTTAAAGGCTGAGTCCGGAAACCACACCTGACCAGCCTGCTGCAAGACCTGACAGGAACACAAATCAAGACACAAAGAGTTAAAAGTCCTTTCTGGGTACAGCCACGGTTCACTTTTGAAGTGTGAGGATGTTCTCACCTTGGACTCAGAGTCCAGGTTGGGGTGAACTCTACTGTACGTGTTTCAACAGCAATGACACCCAGAGGAATTCCTCCTAACCTGTTATTAATGAAATGATCAACAAGAGTAAAAAAAGTGTTCTGCATTAGTGTGTATTAAGTGTTAGGAGATTTACCTTGCTCTTCCTACAACAACAGTTTGAGCCCAAGAGCTCATGATCTCCATGAAGGATCCATGGTCAAAAAATCCACTCTGCCAGGTGCCTTTAACGGCTAAAGACATAAAAGAAAAACGTTAGAACGAGGCACATTAACTTGGTTAAAAAACAAAATAAAGCTTCAAATTGGGTCCTGAAACTGACTGGGGTGAGGTCTGCCAGCCAACATCCAGCGGGGATCGTAGGGGGCTTTAGTAGGAATGAACTCTATTTCTCTGTCTACTGGATCTGTGACTGCCATGATGGGAACAGGGGAGTGTTTGTTCTGTAAGGCAGATAAAACCACTAGTTTGGAATCAGGTTCAGATCTAGACAGAGATCTATCTGTGACACTCAGCCAAACCTTAGGCATGTAGGAGAGCCACTGCAAGATGGTGAAGACGCCTTCAAAGTCGTCTGGCACGGTGGTGTGAGTCACTCCATTGTTGTGCATGATCTGAACTCCACCCAGCTGATTGTTGGAGGTGTAGACTTCTCTGCCCAGAACCTTGGACAAACATAAATTCATTTTTAAATTAGACTAAGAATGGCTTTTTGCTTGTCCCACAGTGGAAGCTGTCAACATTGTTTCCAAGCTTTAATAAGGCTGATCAATAATAAATAATTTAGTTACTAAATTAAATGTAGTTCCCCAGACCTTCCCTTCAGGTGGCACTACAATCGCAGTTTTAACATGCTGGATCCATAGTACTGGTCCAAAAAACATTTCTATAAAAATCCCATCCTGTGAGTCTTTTAATGTGAGCTGATCCTAATCCTCCCCCATTAGTCAATACTTCTGGGGTTTAAAATGTAGCTTACATTCCCAGAAATACATTATTGCTACCCACCAGGTCCACTGTTAACATTTGTCCTGGCCACTAGCAAAAAAAAAATACCTGTACCTTGTACAAAAGACATTTAGTCCTCAGTAAAAAACAAACCTTGTTTAGAGCTCCTGCTCCTGTCAGGATGATGTGGGAGTTCTCCACTTGGATCACTCGTTGTCCCAAACGGACCAGGTAGGCTCCGATTCCAATGGCACGACACGACACCTACATGAGTGTGAATTAGTCAGGACTGAAGTGAAAGAGAAGGAGAGTGACATCAGCAGCTGAATGAAGTGATATTTATATTCTCACCATACTGATGGTAACAATCTCCTCATATGCCTGAGAAGATTCTCCAGCGATGGTGCCAGAACCTCTCAGGTTCTCAACACCAAGACCTTCATTTTTGCCAATGATGTCAGTAATGATGTACCTGAAACAAATGGGCCAGTGGTCATAAAGTTTTCTCTATGAAAGGTGTAAACTGAGTGTTCACGTCACAAAAAACATCAGCCTTACCTGGACTCTCCGCCTTCTTCTACATGGCGACAGTGAACACAGTTGGTAGAGCTGATACAGGTGTAATCCTGTGGTTTCAGGTAGAGGTACTTGAAACCCTGCAAATAGAACATAGTAATATCTTCTGATAAGTATCAGTCTGCATAACCTTTACTTTTCACACTCGTCTGGTGTGAATATATTCCAGAAGGTACCTTATTGGGATCTTCCGGATCAATCCATGCCACCTGGAACATGTGTTTAATTTCTTCAGCCAGGCCGATGCGAGCTCCACTGTTGGCTGCGATGTAAATTCGAGGGATGCCCTCGGTCCGAGCCAACTCAGAAGCTCGGAGGAACAGTTCGTCCTCCAGAGGACCAAAGGAGCCGATCATGTGAGTGATGTCATTGCAGATTACGATGATGTCACGACCCTCCGGACACTCCGGGGTCTTCATCCTCATTTTGAAGGCCACCATTCCCACCTGAGACAAAGTGAACAGATTCATCATACTGAACAGAAAAAGATGAGTATGATAACACACTCAATGTGTTCTTAAATAGATCTTACCTCATTGTCTCCAGGCAGGCGGTTCATCTGCACCAATCGACCTTGTGGGTCCAGTACCAGCTCAGTGCAGGTCAGTACATCTTTGGGGTAATTATCTCCTGATCCCCACAGTTTAAACAATGCCTGTAAGTATTGTTTAATAGTTTCAGAAACTATCTGGAGACAAACACTTAGAAATGAAATGCAACTCTGTCAGTAAGCAGTACTTGTCTGAACATCTCCGGGAAGTCGTAGACGTATGTCGTCCCCAATGTTTGAGCCTGGAAGCGTTTGGCCTGCAGCAGGTCTTTGGTCACATAAGGAGTGCTGATCAGCATACCATTCAGAGGACCCTGCTTTTCTCCATACGAGTGGAACATAATCTGCAGGACAGAGATGATGACAGAAATGTTTTGACCATAAAAGGCAGCCATAAAATGCCTAAAGCTTCTTAAAAAAAAACTTCCTTCACCTGTCCAGAACTTTGGTCGGTGACTTCCTCATATAGGCTGATGTCCAGGTAATATCCAGATTCATTGGTGAGGAACAAACGAATGGGAACGGCATTTCCTGTTGGTGTCAGGCGGATGTTGATCTTTAGTTCGGCCTGCAGCACCCGCAGCTTCCAAAGACGGCTGCCGTAACGCATCACCATGGAGCGGACAGACTCCTCTATCTGTTACATACACGCAGAATTCGACTTTATAAATTCATATTGAATTTTTATAAGACAACTCCAAATAAGGTGGACATTTAGATTTTTAAAGAAGAACAAACATCATCACAATTATCAGGACATTATCACCTGGCAATGTAAATCCTGGCTTATTGGTTTTAGGGCTTTTAAGATCATCACTGGGGCAAATGTTTTGTCATTTCCTAACTTTTCTATTGCAACCTATATTTATTCTTTCGTAAACTGTTGACCTAACCTTTCAATAACGTACATATTTTTGTACGTTATTTACATTACATTATTTGTTATACCTTTATTACAACTATTTTGTTATTTGGTCATACTTTTCTGGAGCTCATTTTGTTTAAAAAAAAATCATGCTAAACTTGTACTGTAAACAAACCACATTGTATTATGACTTTAGTGTATTGTTACATCATTAAGTTGACTGTTATATTGAGGCTATCTTTTAGCCATTACCTTAAAGTCTGTTTTTATATTGGCTGCATTACCCATTGTATGTCTATATCTTGTTATCAGTAAACACATTAAGCACTATTTTCTACAGCAAAATGTTTGAGCCACTGCCATGACATTTCAAAAAACAGTTTTCCTTAGATGTCACAAAACTACTACCTTTGTACCAAGTTGAGTAAAATACCCATTGGCAGCATCAGTACACTTACTTTTTAACTAATCTGTCAATCAAATGGGGTCAAAGATTAAAATTGATTAATTCTGTTCCATAGTTCAAGTGACACTAATCCCTTGATGGCTTCACTAATGCCATTGTGACTGTGAGTGCACAGTTGTACTGGACACTTACTTTCGAGGGGTCCATAATGACAGTCGGCACAAAGTTAAGGAAGATGTGATTGCAGTCTGTGCGGACAGTGGTATTGCTGAAGGCAACCTCCAACTCATCCATGGCCTCCAGGAGAAGACGTTCTCCTTCATTTTGAAGGTATTCAAAGGAGGCTTCCTGGTTGTTGACACATTACATGTTATATAAAAAATTGTAACACTTCTTTCCATCACAAGGCCGTTATAAGTATTACCTTTGTAATGAGGTCTGAGTGGCGGATGATAGCTCTGATGAAAAAGCGGTGGTCTGTGACTTCAGCACCTGCCTGGACACGAGCAGCACCCAGATATAGGTGCATCTTGTGGTTGGCACAGGGAACAGCTCTCAGGTCAAAGTTCCTCATCCGGTTCAGCTCCAGCTGAAAAGCCAGAGCTGGCTCCAGATTACGGTAAATACGGTCCTCCTTAAACTAAGGAGAAGAGCAGAGGGCTGTAAGAAATAATGTTATCCAAGAAAAAAAAAAAGGACACTCCATGATGTGTCACCTGGTAAAAGGAAAGAAATTCACAATTAAACACACAACACGTTATGTAAATTAATGATGTTATGAGAAAGTAAAATGACATCACTGGCAATGATGTCATTGTATTCAGCGAGATTAGTTTTCATGACTTTTTTGATATTGGGTTTAAAATAAATTTCACAACTAAAGTAATCTTAGAGTCTCAGCATATTTAGCAGCCTAGTTAGCTTGGAGCTGGGGAGTGAAGCTAACTTCAAAGGCTCAATAATCCTGAGGGAACATGTCAGCTCTTTATCTGTGTTATGTTCACTAAAAACTTACCATGTCTCTTGCTCTGAAGGTAAAGAACTTGGGAAATTCTCTCTGAAGGAATAAAAAAGATAAGACGTTATTCATCCCACACTGGAGAAATTCATTAAAATAATAATGATAAGATAAGATAAATTACCTTTTGTGCGATCAAAAATGTGATTCTCCTGATTCCGTACTCAAAAAGGATTTCTTTCTGTAAAACAACATGTTGATTAATGAACAGCTGACATTCAAAACAATGCTACATTTAATCTTTATGTAAAAAAAGTAACCTTAGATTGAATGAAAGCAGTCAACACCGTGACTAAGGCATTGTCATCCTCCATGTCTGCTGTTTTTATGGACACATTAATGATGTGGATTGGATTCTCCCTGGTGTTCTGTACAGGGCAGAGAGGGCCACAGGGCTGCTGTTAGAAAAAACTCACTTTGTTTTATATCTCAATTGATAGTCAATGGCACGATGTCATTCATTTGGTCAAGTCAGACCAACAGAGACACATCTACATGCAACAATATGCATGTTTGTTTTTTAATTATGGAATGTTAATTGTTTTGATTAACCACATTTGATTATTTGACAGTTTTTGGGGTTTCTTTTTAGTTGTACTGATGGTACTTGAATGCACCACACTTACCATCTAGTGAAGATTAGTTTGACTCTCTAGGCTGCTGCTGTTGATACTTCTATACTTTCCCTTGTATTACCATTGTGCCAGAGGACCACAGTCTAATATTTCAATCCATCTTGACATTTGTGTCTATATGGCCTTTAATAGGGACACACTTTGATAGCCTGCTGTTTTACACCTAATTACACCACTTAATTCAACAGTAGACTCCTATCTCAATTTTTGCTGCATTTGAAATGTAATGATGTTAATAGTATTCTACTATCTGTTCCATGTCTTGATACAGGCCTCACCTTGAAACTCTCCTCCTCATACAGAATGGAGCAGGATTCTGAGAAAGAACTCTCCAAGAGAGGTTCTGCAAAGCTGGAAATTACTTCATCAAAATTTCTGTGAAAACATAAAAACATTGTCTGAATCAACCCAAGTAATCATGTATTATATTTACAGAAGAGCAGTAAATACTGCAGATACAAGTGAGTATAAAGTTATAATGACCTTATAAAGTCATCAAAACACTGAAAGGCCACCATGGCCCCCATACGTTGGCAGGGCGGGGGTAAGGCGCCCTCCAGGAAAAGCTCACTGCCCTGTCGCCTCATGTTAAACTGTCCTGATCCATGCATCGGCACAGGAACCCTGAAAAACAAAAACAGAAATGCAGTGACATCAAAGTCACAAATACAGCTTGCAGTAAGGTTTGCCTAAGCAAAACTTTTTGAAAAGAGGAGTAAAAATAAAGGAAGAGAGAGCAATTACAGCAAGTGTGGATGTTCTGATATACTGTACTTGCATTGTTCAATTTAAAAATTTTCACAAATTTTCACAAATTGATATTTGCAAATTAAAATAGGCTGATGGATAAAATGCAGGTTTCCTGTCAAGTAATTTAATGAAATTTCAGGCTCAAGGTTTTTCCAGAGGAAAAAGAAAAAGATGTTCATCTCAAAAAGCTCATTATTCAGGAAAAGCAAAAATAATACATTGATAAGCACAAATGAACAGGAAGGACTTGTTAGAGGAGTCCTTGAGCAATTTTTTTTTCCTTCTCTGGTTTCAAAGAACAAAAACAGAAGGAGCAACATGGTACATCCAGCATGCATTGCTGTGAGACATACTGTACAAACAGGATGAGAAGAGTTTTCTGACTGGGAGGAGCTTTACTCTACCTGTTCAGAGTAGGGCTGCTCCCTCTGAAATAAGATCATTGACAGGTGAATATTAGCAGTGGACATAACAACAGCAGCGCCACCTCTGGGCAACATAACAGATGCAAGAACTCCTGTGCTCAAGATCACGAGCAATTAAAATATAAAAATATTTCAATTTTTCGTAGTTTCAATATTTTATTACTATAAGAATGGAAGCATATTGTGAAATAGAACAACATGCAATTAATTGCTAGCCCAACATTTACCGTATAAATAATAATATTTAGTTTATATGATTTAATAGGTATTTAATGTTATCGGTGTAGGTTGATCACTTTAGCCTGGTCATCATTAGTGCCCACATCAACAGTTCTAGACACAGCCAGCTGTGTTTTAGCTCGGAGATAAATCAAGTCAGTTTAAATGAGGAGTTACTGAAGGTATACATTTGCACAGAGACAGTGATGGCCGTGCTGTTCGATGACTTCAATAATAAAAAAGAAATGGTCAGTTCTTAGCTGTGGCTTTGCAGTGCAGTTGTGTTAAGGTTTGTGTTTTACCTGTTTGGATGTGAGGAGGGCAACATGAACTGAAAGTCCACAGCACATGTTCCGTCCTGCAGCTGGTGGTGCTGGATGCTGTTCAGCTCATAGGCAATGTAAGCTCTGCGCACGTACACCTGAAATACAAGTCCAAAGTGAGTGTTGACCACACGGAAACAGCAGACTGAATAAGCGACTGTGATTCAACTGTATGTCATTGACATACCTCCAAAGCGGCCATACACACAACCTGATTGGAGTGATAGAAGAAGTTTGGCAAAACGTCAAAAATGGAGGTTTCGGACAGAATGAGTTTCTGTGGGATACAAGGAACAAGTTTATTTAAATAAAAATTGATTTTCAGATTGTAAGGCCGTAATATAACAAAATGTCTTGACACCAGGCTGACCTTCAAGTTCTCTGGACAAAACTGATGGCCGTACATGTCAATGGCTGACAGAAAGAGGGACTCGACCTGGTTGTGTCTTTTTTCATATGAAGGCAGATGAGAGGCAATAAGGACCTAGGAGACCGATCATAGATTTGAGCTAATACCCACATTAATATTTAACAAAAACAAGGACCGACAAAATGCATTTGTTAGCCACACTCATTTATTTGTGATATTAACTGAATTATAAATTTTAACAAATTGTTACCCATACAATGATATGCATTTATTATTTACACACATCACTGTAATTTTTTTCATAATTTCACTGAAGCATCTCAAGCTAAAAATACTACCTCAATACACCCGTGTGTGTTTGTGGAGGCTTTACTAGATTCATGGCATAAAGTAGGGTTAGGGCTGACAGAGAGGACTGACTGACACAACTGTCAAATGGATTGTGAGGGACTGAGACAGTTCACTGTTGAGGATGACGACCTCATCAAAGATTTGAAAGCAACTCTCTACACTTTTTAAATGCTGCCGTCAAAATAAGCAATAATGACTAAAATCCAAATTTTTCTTTATCTCATTTTAACTGTATTCATAATTTCATAATAATTTGAATTAATCACAATTAAAACAGGTTTGAAACATATCTAGCTGCTGTTTTCATATCATTTATTTTATTTGTCATTTTTATTTATCTTAATTCACACTACATGTAAATTTACACTAAATTTCTAATGGACAGTGTGTCTGACCTGTCTGGCTCTCAGAGCCACCTTGGAGTTCTCCACCTTGCTGAGCTTTGTGAGCTCATTCAGAATGGCAGTCAGCTCATCTGCCAAAGTGGAATCCCTGCCACAAAGCTGGTCCTACACACAGGCAAGGATGTACAACACTTTACTTCATAAAGGGCTTGTTCAGGTGAGAGCAGTGATTGTGCTTACCTAAAATAATAAAAAAAAGTCTTACTATGAGCATGATGACCAGGATATTTTTCTTGGAGACCTGAGCATGAGAGAAAATATAGTCCAGCACTGGACTCATGTCAGGTTTGTACTGCTCCCTCAGGTTAATGACGCACTTGTCGTAATGAGCTGTTTGAAAGAAAAGAGGCAACCACATAAGAGAAATAAAAATATATTCAGAACTGAAGTGTTGAAAAGTACATCTGTATGTAGAGATACTTTTTAAAATATTTCCTTCTACTGTATGTAAAATCACTGCTGCTACACAGACCTTGAACTCGTGTTCATGTTAAATTGATGGTAAACACTATGTTTTGTTTAATAATTGAAAATAAAAAATAATTTCAGGAACGTTTGTGTCTACGTGCTTCTTTAGAACAGAACCTGAAATGTTACTGGCACACTGATAAAAGCTTTATCTGAATAAACTTGAAAATTTTAAATATTTGAAATGTTTGAAAAGTGAATATCAGCGTCACCTTGCTGAAACTGTATTTCTACTTGAAGATATCGTCGCAGCAGATCAAGAACCACAGACTTCATGTAACCACGGGTTCCACTGCGATACCTAAGAAAAAACAAAATAGCAACATCATTTGTCTGTGTTGTTATGGTATTCTGTAAGGTATGACTGTTCTATATGTAATACCAACCTCTGTACGAGCTGCACAATACTCTGTGTGTACATGAAGAAAACCTCGCGGTCAGCCTTCCTCTGCAGTGTTGCTGCATGGCGGTCTAGAATATTTGCAATCTGGGAAAAAAATATCAACATAAAATATGGACAAGAGGTGATTTTACATCATCCTAATAAATAAAACCCACTGTCAAAAGCTACTTTGTTGCTGCAGGTGTTTTTTACCTGTTGACTGGGGAACTGGCAGAGGACAGAGGTGATGTTGCTTGCATACTGAGCGATGACTTTGCGGATACTTTCCTCCACAGTGGGTGGAATACGAGCCACCACACTAGTCATGATCTCCTGGAGCTCCAGCAGCGGCAGAGAGGGGTCTCGAAGAGTCTTCATCAGGGTTGCTACCCACTGTTTCAACTGTTTGAAAATAAACATACATAGAAGACATGCACATGAATGTATCATGTGTACTGTACTTTACCTCAACAAATTATCAAGAGAGAAAACCTGCGTTGTACCTTAGTACTGAAGTACGGCTCTTCAAGGCAGTACCCGTCCATGACTTTAAACAAATTTTCCAGTACACAGTGGAACACCTGGTGAAGCTTTTCTCCAACTATGGGCAGTGGATGCTGAGGAGGCAGCGGAGCTGTGTTCAGCTTCACCTATAAAAGAGTCTGAATTATTATGAATAAGGTAAATAACCAAATATTATAAAAAGATGCGTTCAAAAACATTTACCCTGTGTATGCTGCTGGGGTCATCCAGATCCATACGTGCCACCTCACAGCCAGACCCCAGCACTGCTCCAGGCCTCTTTACAAAGTGGATACAGCCAGACTGCTGCACAGTCAGAGTCATCACCATCTTCATCACCTGTGAACACAACATAAACAAATATTCATGAAAAAAGCAAAGTGATACATCTTTTATAGCCATTTGTAATAAAATGTGTCACCTCAATCTCAGCATAAGTTTCTCCTGCGTCGACATGAACCCCGTCATCAACCATGTACTGCAGAAGCTTGCCAGCAGAGGGCGACCTCAGCACTGTGGGATCCTTCTCTTTCTCAAATACACAGGTCTTGTTGCCAACAGTTATACGGTAGCTACAGAATTGAAAGATGATTAGAACCAAAGGAGACAAAAAGGACATATGAGGACGGAGTCACGGCCTTGCCTGTCTACTTCTTCTTTCATGTAAGTAGTGTAACTGCTGCCATCATAGGACAGCAGGAGGCCTCCGTCACTCAGCCTGTGTACGTCTATTTCTATGCAGGAGCCATTCATCATGATGACATAGGTAGTTGGAGATTGGCGAGCCACCTGGGGGCAGCAGATATGAACATAGTTGATTATAAAAAGAAAAGAAACCGAATACACCAAACAAAGACAGAATGAAGAAGTAGATCAGCCACAGAACCTTGAGGCAAAACTTGTCCTCTTCATAAATAAGTTCCACACTGACAGTGTTGAAAAGACTGGCAGCAGGCAGGACTTGGCCTCTGGGAATACAATGAACAAAGTAATATTAAACATAAATAGGAATGGAAGTGAGGTGTTGACAGACAATGTCTGTGTCTACTGACCTTTCCAGGGAATGGAGGAAGTCAGACATGCTTTTTCTAAAGCTGGCGTCAGCAACATGCAGAGCCCCACAAACAATGCCCAGCATGGTGTCTGGCCTCTCTGCCTGCAGACATAAGGTGACAGACACAGGTGGTTTCAGTGTTGTAGTGAAACACAAGTGAAATACTGACCTTTATTCTTATACCTGAACTTTCTCTGCAATTAGATGATCCAGCCAGCCAGTGTCTATGTCATTGTTTCTGAAGCTTTCTGTCTCCAGTAGCTTAATGAGGTATTCAACCGTTGTCCTGAAGTCTCCTCTGATGGACAGCTCCTTCATAGCTACCACCATGTTCCTGAAGTAAAAGGCAGGCCTTGCTATATTTATAACGCATCGTGAATAAACTACACATTTTACCACGGTGTAACTGAAGACTATACAATTCATAAAATAAAATGTTATGAATAATAAAGTTGATGCCTGTAACATTATTGCCTCAGTGGAAAGTAGCAATTGTTTTAAAAACACCTTCCAATTCTGGTACTATGCCTACTTTCTGTTTAAAACCTATAGTAAAATATTGGCTTACTGTAATTATTTAGGGCTTTATTTCAGATGTATTTCTGGTTCCTACAACATTTTTGTAAAAAACATCACTGACAAGCCTACATTAAATGCACAACATATTCAGCAAGAGTCGTGGCAGTTCAGCTATCGTGTCCTTAGTGCATTGCAGGTTTTTAATATTTTAATGTATTCATGTATTGTGGATCATTCGCTATATCGCAGGTTTTTGTAGTATATAAAATATTTAATAAAATATTTATAGTTTTAAATAAGCATTTTCTAGCATAAGAAGAAAAAAACAGTAAGAAAATTGTCTAAAATTAATTAAAGACATTTTGTAACATACTGTACGTACATACAGGGTGCTACAACAAAAAAATATTTAATAAAATATTTATAGTTTTAAATAAGCATTTTCTAGCATAAGAAGAAAAAAACAGTAAGAAAATTGTCTAAAATTAATTAAAGACATTTTGTAACATACTGTACGTACATACAGGGTGCTACAACAAATAACCTGTATGTACAGGTAAACAACATTTGTGAAAGTTTCGCAGTAATTTCACTATTTGCCAGAAAAAAAAGCAAAAACACTGCTTACGAAATGGCTTCCTCACGATTCTCTCCCCAGGAGAAACAATGTCCAAACTGTGAGTCAGCAAACTCATGCAAACCTCCGGTGGCACCAACGCTAAAATAACCCCAGACATTTTTACTGCTGCGGAAGTTCAGCTCCTGCACTGTGCCAGAACTGGGCTTGAAACCCTGTGATGTGGTAGACAGACAACACAGTGTTAAAAAACAATATGACATGAAGACATCAAGTTTGCTCAAATGAGGTCCTACCTCATCAGGGTTCTCACTGGTAATGCGAACAGCGATGACGTGCCCTCTTGGACTTGGCATGCACTCCGGAGTCTCAAAACTAATGATGCTGTCACCCCATGGACTTTCACCATAAAGTAAGCGAATGTCTTTAATTCTGTTCAGTGGGACTCCCATTGCAATCTACCAAAAATGAAAGCCCCAGGCACAGTATTGGTACGATTTCAGAGCTTGGGATCAATAAAGTACATCTATCTGTCTATAGTGTGGAGATGTATGGAATCATTCTACTGTGAGTGTGAAGGAAGAGGCATTTACCTGAAGCTGGGCAGCAGGCAGGTTCACATCAGCGATCATCTCCGTACACGGGTGTTCAACCTGCAGACGAGGATTCAGCTCCAAGAAATGGAAACTTCCATCTTCAGAGAACAGATACTCCACAGTACCTGCGCTAACATAACCCACCATCTTGGCAAGCCGCACAGCAAACTAGCCAATTTGAGAAAGAGGAGAAAAAGTTGGAAGTCACAACAAAATAACCAATGATATATACATGCAGTCATGTAACTTACCCGCTCCATTTGCTCAAATGTTGAGACAGCAGCTATGGTGGCCGGAGCTTCCTCTATGATCTTCTGGTGCCTTCTCTGTATGGAACAGTCTCGTCCAAAAACAGAGATGACGTTTCCATATCCGTCAGCCAGTATCTGGACCTCAAGATGTCTTGCATGCTGAGCCAGCCTCATGATAAAGATGGGGGAGCCTGGTACCTCCGCCTGAACCTGCACAGCCAGGGGAAAAGTTTCAACTTAAAAAAAAGTTAAGGACACACATTTCAAATATGGTTCAGTTTTGGATTTTAGGTTTGGTTCTTTCTTTCTATTCTTAAGGATATGTCTCACAAACCAACACTACAGTAAATGTTATAAAGCTGTAAGGGCATGGCAGAAGAAGGAGGAAGAATGCCATGGAATAGTAAAAGAATTGTTCTTTCTCAGTGACTAACCTTATCTTTCAGGTTTGACATAAATGTTATAAAATTTTATGGGATTTTATTTACTCAGACTAAGATATTTTATGCTCAGCGGATATTGTTTATAAAAAAATGTGTTGAATTTGATCAGGACAGAAGAAAAAATACATTTTAGTTATATAATATCTGTACAAACCTGTCTGAAGAAACCTGGGAAATCCTCCGAACTTTCCACTTTCCGAATCCCCTTCCCACCACCGCCCTCTGAGGCTTTGATAACAACTGGATAACCAATTCTCTCAGCTCCCTGTAAAAATACACCATATCTTTGTTAACAAAAATATCAAAAGCTGTAATAAAAAGCATAAAAGTGTATTTCCCACAAGTTAAACCACTATTCCTATTTTACAAATCTTGAAGGTAACAAAATTACAAATGCAGCCTTTACTGTCAATGTTGTAGGGACCAGTCAATAGTAAAGTTCCATGAAATACAGTACATGTAAACATAGTACTGCGCCTGTGATTCTTACCGCCAGACCATCGTCCACATCATGAACACAGCCTCGAGTGTAGATCTCAGGGGGAACACTAATGACTCTGCCGTGTCTTTGGTCCTCCTCTGTCCAGTCCACCCTCAGACCTGTCCATCAGAAATTGTTAATGAAGTACAGAAACATATTCTTGCACCACAGACTGTTAATTGAACCAGTACAAAGGAGTCACCCATCACCTGATCCACTCCAGGGGAGTGTGGGAATGTCAGCACTCTGGGCCACAATGGAGGATGCCACTTTATCACCAAGAGCCCACATGGCCTTACTGGACGGTCCTGGAAACATCAATTTATATCAAACAAAAAGTGGTGCTAAAAATGGTCCAGCCATAAAATTTGTCCCAACTTCTTATTTTCTCATCTGTATACCTAAGAATGAAATCCCTGCTTTGTCCAGCAGATCAGGCAGTTTAGGGTTTTCTGAGGCATGGCCCCAACCAGCCCAAACAGCCTGTAGATATCAATTAAAAAAACCAAAATACTATATTTTACTAATTACTGTTTTATTAAAGAAATGAATACATAAACCAGTGCAAATCAGCTTGGAAATGTACCTGCACTCGAAATCTTTTTGCAATGTCCAGTATAAGCTCAACATTGGCATAGTTGTTGTTGTTCGGCCCACCTGGGACAGGCACGTAATGGTCAGCCATTTTGATGTATTCTACAGGGAAAGAATAAAATAATATGTTGTTGAATACGATGCAGGAAGTCTGACTCATTCATTGTGACAACATGGTTAAACAGCTCATTGATAGTATTGCTCTCTACCTCACCCAATAACAACCTGGCAATAAAAAGACATTTATCAAGTTCACAATGACCTGCATTAGCGTCCAAGTCTTCCGGGGTCACCATGACCACAAAGCGAATAGTCCTCTCGTTACGAAACATCTCATAGGACCAGCGACGGATGGAACGCATGCATTTGACTGCAGCGATGCCATTGTTTGCTATAAGCACCTATACAACAAACATAGAAAACCTTTGATTAGCCTTAGGAGACACAAGACTAAATATCTAGGTAAATAACACAATAGAACATTTCTGCACATACTCTTTCTATGACACGATTTCCACCAACTCGAGTGACAAACTCAGCCGGCGAGGCCACAGTGAAGTCTCTCTGTAGATCCATCTTTCTGTGTTCACGTCCCTTTTTCACCAGATGAGGACCAGACATACTAGGTCTGGAATGGAAGGATTACTCATGATTATATTACACCAAAGAAAACCAAAACAACCGAAACATTAATCACATTAATGAATTTCTATGTCCACATTAATTTTATTATATCAGATGCAGACAGATACTAAGTAGACCGACCCTGAGGAGTGATCCTTACTAAACGCCTTACTCTTGTTCCTACACTGAAGAGGGGAAATAGAATATTAAACAGACTACACTCACGTAACCAACACAATTAGTCTCAAAATATGTTTTTAAAAGAATGTTTTACATGGTTCAGAAATTGAGGTCAAAGTATTAAATTGATGCTGTGTGCATTAAGACAGGGATGTCAAACTCCCACATTCGGCTTGTAAATCTTGAACATCTGGCCTGGGACCAGATGGCAATAATAATTTTTGAATAACTGCACCTTACAGTATATTGTCTCCAAATGACCTGATTTAGTCATAAAGATGTTCAGTTTACTGGGATTAAACCATGGACTTTAGGGTTGGGGTTAGCTATAGTTTTAATTATTAAATAAAAATCTTAAACTAATTACAATCTTAACAACTTAAATAAACATTGTCTACTGTAGCAACCAATTAGTCAGTGATTATTTAAGCTACAGTATCTTTACAGCCTGGGTGTTTACCCTACATTCATGATATTACTGTTTGATTCTTCATACTGCAGAAAATTGTGGAAAAAAAGTGATTTGTCCAAAACAAAGTGAGCAAATGTCTTTTGTAATTTCACAGTAAAACACAGTTTATGGTCAGAGGTGACAGAACAGAACAAAGATATAGACCGAACAAAGAAACAGAAATCAAAGAATTAGTGTCATTAGAAAAACAACTAATGAAACAGAAAAAAGTTGTTGAGAGACATTTAGAATCATCGTTGTAAACTAGAAGAAAACCTGCTTGGTTATTGTGGTTTTCACAAGTGGTAAAGTCAATGTTTGCAAATTATTTTAATTGAAAACAACATATGATCAGTGCACAGTGTCAGTCATGGACTCTAGACTCTCACTAACTAAGTCAACCAATCTGTACCATGGCTACTTATTCAGGAAGAGTTTTCATAGAATTTTTAAAATCCTAAAAACACATTTAACCTCAAGAACTCTTTCAATATTGTCAGCAAACAAAACATACCTAAAAATTTATACTGAATTTAAAAAAAAATTAAAATAAAAAAAATTCAATGTGATTAGAGTTGAGTGATAAATCATTTAACATACCATTATACCTTCACACTTTCACAGTTGCTCTTCCAGCCTGCTGCACTGCCTTGGAAAGTCTGCCCAATGTTCAGATATGACTGAGTCACATCAGCTATATTGCAGAGTATAGAGTGCAAATCTGTCTGGGTTGACTTGACCTTTAAACTTCACTCCTTCTGCGATCTGTTCACTAAGGAAATACAGACTGCACTTTGGTGCTACTTGGTGATAACCAACGATGAACTTCTCACCCACTTTTCTTCCTGGTCCACACAACTCTGCACTACAGAGAGTTGAGAGTGTTAGTGTTTTTTTTTATGGGTTGCATGTGCTGAGACAAGCTCCCCACAGTTACATAACAATAGCATCTGTAGCAATATTTTCTTGTAAAGAAAAATCTACTGTAACATTCACTAAAGGGGTGTAGAACAACACGTGCATCTTTATCTATGAAGTCTCTGGCTCCGTCATAAAGCATATCACAGCTTGTACAGAAAACAAACACTGAAGTATCACATTTCTCAGAACAACGTCAACATAACATTCACGCCACAGTACTTACTTTCTAAGATAAGGGAACAGCTGGAAACTTTTACAGCCATTTCCTTCCATTTTGCTGTCTACTTTATTGTCCGGTTGAACTAAGTATTAGTCATTTATGCAGACATTTCTACATAAAGTGCTTCCTCTTAGCAGCGCCCTCCCCTCAGCCCTCCCACATGTGTAGCAAAACATCTACAGACGGATGTGACGAATCACAGGCTGCTTAGTATCAACACACACAGTAAGCAGACGCAAATCCCACCACTGTCATACTCCACACTCTACTCCATTGCAAATGTATGGTCCAGTTTGACCAATTGTGTATTAAGGGTTCTTTTCTTTAAACCTGACATGAAGATGATACACTCTCTTACCTTTCTCCTTGTTGTGGTGATTTCCAACAGCCACACTAGTACACTTATTTTATCATACAGACAATGCTGGTGAAGCTGAACACAGAACTGTGACTCTCCATCACACAGTTCACACCTGCTGCATATTTAACACATAAAAACAAAGGACTTTAAGGTGTTTTTGGTTTGTGAGCAGAGTCCAAATACAGGTCAAAGTCACTGGCTGGGGCTTTTGTTCCAATAACAGAGCCTAAGTGTTTGGCATAGGTTCAATGCAGTCAGCTTGTAGAGACAGAGCTAGCTAACAAGTCATCACTCTGACCACATGACTGACTCTCACATTTCTGCACAAATGCCACTCTTCCTGTGCCTTTAGGGCAGAATATAAATGTACTTTCAAACAACCTAAACCAGAGCATCATGCAAAAGTAAGTTCCATTATGTGTCACTACTGCATGGTGGAGTGGTTAGCTGCAGTGACACTGCCTTTGGAAGGAACACGAACTACTTGTCACTGCACACAACCAAATGTGACCTCTGCTTTTAAGTCATCACCAAAGTGAACAGTGGGCAGCTTTAAGCACCGTGGGAGCAGTGTGTGGGGACGGTGCCATGCTCAGAGCACCTCAGTGGTGACTTGGCAACTGGTGGACTCAACCCCCACCACTGCCACTTTCTGTTTCCACTTCCTTATTTTCCATTGGTGGTTTAGAGTTTGCATGTTCTCCTCTATATATGTTGACGTTTATCCCACAGTCTAATTACATGCAGATTAAGGATTAGGGCGATTTGCATTTTAAATTGTGCATAGCACTGAATGTAAGTGTGATTGGTTGTTTGTCTATCTGACTCTACAATGGACTGGTAAACAATTAGATTCAACTACATATAAAACAATAATGTTGTACCAGCAGATTCGACTCATGTACCAGGCGCTATTATTGCATTACATGAAAAGGTGTGCAGGGGGGGCGTTGCATAAAAAGCAACCATCCTACAGTACATTAGCCATATTAGTCATACAATAGAGCAATTAATGAGTCTTACTTGATGCCTGAGAAGCTTGGCTGTGTTTCTAAAGGGGATAACTCAGGGGAAGATCTTCGGGTGGAAGTCGATGTCTGGGACGCACCACTTGGAGGTTTGCTGACCAAAGGCTCCTCATCTGAAGAGTTGTCCTCTGATGCCCCAAGAATGAACTTGAGTCGTTCTCTTTCCTCCGGTCTTGAGCTGAGCTTTGGCACACTTGTTTTGCTAGGCTTTCTGTTGGCTGGTGGCAGTATAGGCAGCTTTGAGTCTACGATAGAGGAGGACGGTGGAGACCCAGAGCTCAAAGTTTTGATGGCAAATCCTGTAGAGACACTGTCGGTCAGAGGACTGTCGTGTGCTGAGGTAACGGGCAGGTTTGCAACTGAGGACAAGGGACAGACTTCTGCATGTGAGGCAGATTTGTTGTCCTTAGCTGCAGACGAACCACAGCCAGATGGAGTATCCTCTCCTTTCACAGGCATTGCTGCTGTCTTAGTTGTGATCCTCCACAGCACCAACAAAACCCATATGATCAATGCCAAAAGTGCCAAGACAGGCATCTACAGGCATCCTCAAGCAACTGCAACAATAACAAAGTAAAAATTGAATTATTCACTATATCATATTTAAAGAACACTATATACTGTGACATGTTTCTGGTTCAGAACTGGTTCAGATTTATGCAGATTGCACAGCCTTTGTAATGTAAGCACACTGCTTTAACTGTACCTCTGGCATCACACTCTGACTGTAAAGGTCAGATTCGCAGCCAGAAGAGGGCAAGACAAGTTATTAGCTATTTTTCCAATGAGACAGGTTAACATGCATAGTGTCAAAGCACGTGAAATACATTTTTGAGCGCGTCACAAACAGCACATTACAACAAACTACCCTTTGTTTGTACACTGTAACAGCTTGGCTTAATTCATAAACAACTAGGACAAAGTGCTTAAAGTTAGATCAAATAAAAGCAACCTGAGCTGTATGTGTGGGAAAAAATAGGGTTAAAAACTTTTGTTGCTGTCTGCAGGCTGTCACCACAGAGGCACATGAATCAGCGTCGGGGGAGTGAACAGAGTAAACATACTATAAAGCACTACTCTCTGTGTTCTATTCCAGTCGAAGGACATTTCTGTTGTGGTGACTGGAGGTCAGATGTCCTTTCAGTGCCGGGACACTCTTGGCAATGGTGACACTAGACGTGTGTTGCTTTAAATGCAAAGACTAATACACAAAAAATAAAAAAAAAATAAAACAATGTAACATGCAAACACATCTACTATTTAATTATTTGATACATTTAATTTTAATAATAGTAATGATTATACTTGTCAGACATGTAAATTTGCTTTGGTCCTTGAGCTAGTAAACATAACAGAAAACTAACTGTGCTCACGGGACCTGAGTGTCTGTGCTTCTGAGTCCCATAAACAACATGACTCTCACAGCTGACACACAAGCCATGTGTGGCTGCTTCATGTGGGATAAAGGTCAACACTAAGGGAATGGAGGACAAGAACCATGTCAGACACTATATATGCTTTAACACATTTCTTAATCACTGAATTATAGATGCTGTGAAGCTCACACAGAGCCCTTAAATAAAGTTTAGAATAACGAGTTGTGGGAATTTGCAATATACATGGAGGCAACAAGACAACAATTGTCCCCTACAGCCATTATTGTATTCTAAGGCATGACTGAGACAAATGTTAGGCAGACAATGACTTCACCCCATGTGGTCCCAACACATATGGCATGCTACAGTCACGGAAAACAGAATTGATTAGAATAAGGGAAATAATAAGTGACAAACAATATATCACTTCATAATAAGATTTTTTGTGGTCTTGTTGGCTGCAGGCTGACCGCAGGGGAGATTTTAAAAACATCTATACTTTTCATGATTCCACCACTATGCACGGTTGGATACAAGTGGTAAATTCTTGCATTTTATAAACATGGTTTTAATCAATATATTTAATGCAATTCGATTTAAACTTATTTTATTCGCAGCTTTCTCTTCCGTCATGATTTCCCGTAATTCATTAGAACATTTTGGCAAAAGCAAATAAATTAACCCAATTGATAAATGTTATTGTTATATTGAGGTTACCAATCTTAAAAGACATGCAGAAAATAAATACATGTTTTTTAAAACAAAAGAAATGAAGATAGTCTGCTTTGGGATAAACAAATAAGGCAGAAAGGCAGAAAGTGACTAATTTGCAGCATATGTCACTATTACTGCTGCTTCTGCTGCAGCAGCTGGTGTGCTAGCTGACTGACAGAACACTGGTTATTTTTCACAACTTGGTATTAACGGGACTTTTTCAAAGTTATTGGTCTTAAAAACCTTTTTCGTGATCCGTTAACTGCGACAAAGTTGTGAAATACAGATAAGAGTAAATAACAATTAACTGTTTATGTCTTTTCTGTCAGCAAAAGTGAATGTCAGTGTAACATACCAGCAGTATGAAGCTCAACAACTGATCCCAGTATCAACCATCGTCCTCTACTGTTACCGCCTCTTCTACTACGCCGCCTCCTCCTCAATGATAAACGTGTGCACTGCCAGTGGCTCAGCTCCTTATTATTCTGTCTTGGTTTCCCCCGTAGAGATTGGTAAACAGCTAAAAAATCTATTACTGCCACCTTCTGGACTGGAGAGGGACTGTTAGACTTGCTTGGTACGTTTTTATGTTGAGATTTTTATAATCAGGGTAAGAGAAAAAATAAAAACAAAACGGAACTTAAAAAACTATGGAATAAAAGTGTACTAGAAGCTAGTAAGTATTGTAGTACTCCCAAATTATTGTAGTAAGCCAAATTTTTCCTTTCATTAGTTTTACCTTTTATCTGTCTACCTATATGTCCGTCTGTCCGTCTGACCAGTAATAAGTCAACCCGTGCAAACGATGACAAAGAAGATAAAAAGCAAAACATTCAGCTATAAACAGAAATATATGTAGTTGAACTACTGTGGTCTGTTTTTAAAGAATGTGTCAAATGTTCACTTAAAAAAACAAACATCAACATCTGGTGTTAATGAAATATAGAAATATAAGTAGTTGAAATGTGTCGGTCTTTTTTTTTTTGTTTGTTTGTTTGTTTTTTGTTTGTTTGTTTGTTTGTTTTTTTGTTTGTTTTTAAAGAATGTGTCAAATGTTCACTTAAAAAAACAAATATCGACATCTGGTGTTAGTGACGATGGCGCATCCTGCATTAGTAATAATTACTTCCCACATGTCCCCCATAAGTCATTAATGCCAATATGAACAAACGGTATAATAAATTCTGTAGAAGTCCTTTAAAATGGAATCTAAATTCACCGACCGTCCATGAACGCAGCAATCCATTATACTCCCGGAAGTTCCGCCTCTCTGTACTCGCGGGAAAAGGAGGTAGGCGCCAAAATAAGAAAACACCATCAGCGTCAGTGACAGGGACTCAGGGAAACGAAGGACACAATATTAAAGAAACCTCCAAATGTTACTTTTTAAACACACGTTTTTAAGGTGAATAGGACTTTATTTGGGACTGGACGTGGCTTCGGTCGAAATTTCACCGTAAAGGATGGTTTTACAAAACAGTGGTAGATATAAAGCAGAGAAAGGACAAAGCGGTGACCAGGAAAACCAGTGAGTTGACATTTCAATTCTTATTTTCTGTGTGTCTGGTCCAGTTTGTTTGACACTGTTAAACTTCTGGTGTACCTACATTGGATGACATGGGAAAAAAATGTTTGTTTAAAACAGGGACGATGGATCTTCCATATCCGCTGTCAAGCGGCTGGAGCGCAGTCAGTTCACCGACCAGATGGACTCACGCTTCGGCTTTGACAGAATTAAAGACTCGGGAGAAAAAACAGGATGGCTGATCAACATGCATCCTGTAGGTTTATGTTTAAACATATCAAGGCGTATAAACCGTGCAAAGAGTATAAAGCAAATATTTTGTGTTCTAATGTATAGACCGAGATCCTGGATGAGGACAAGAGATTGATCAGTGCCGTGGATTTTTATTTCATTAAAGAGGATGGAAACAGGTTTAAGGTTGGTGACGTTGAAGCTCGTTACTAATTCATCTGTTTTATTTCTGATAAAGAGTTCCTCTTTTTTCATTATGTTGCCTATTTTTACTCTGTAGGTGGCGCTACCGTTCAAGCCCTATTTTTACATTGCCACAAAAAAGGTAACAAAACTCCTGCTCATTGGAAGCTTTACTGTTCAATTGACAAAAGCCCGTTCTGACAAAGAGCTGTTTTTCCAGGGCTGTGACAGAGAAGTCATCTCCTACTTGTCCAAGAAATTCCAAGGAAAAGTGGCAAAGCTTGAAATTATCCCAAAGGAGGATCTTGACCTGGTGAGTTTGTTCAAATAGACCTGATAATATTTGTGTTTTTAAATTAATGTCACAAGCCACATTTAATTGTCTTAATAATGACAAGAAAAATGTTATATGTTGGAACAGAAGGATGTAGATATTAGTTTTTACAGCTGTTTTTATTTCTAAATATTGTCTAAATAACTTGAATTATGGAACTATTATATAAAAAAATGTTCTAAACCCAGGAGTATTTTTAATCCAGCTGTCATCATACCAAAGAGTATCTGACTAAAAGCTACAGGGGCCAACACTGACCCTAGGAAATGCAAAAAGTGAATCATATACATAGGAATTTTTTTTTTAATTTTTAAAATTTTTTTTTAAAGTTGATATATTTCTGATTTAATTTCAGCCGAACCATTTAGTCGGATTGAAGAGAAGTTACATCAAGCTGTCATTCAACACTGTGGACGACCTTGTGAAAGTAAAACGTGAGATTGCCCCGGCAGTGCGAAAGAACAAAGAGAAGGAGAATTCCAATGATACCTACACTTCAATGTTATCCAGGTATTTTAAAAAAATACCAGTCTCCTTGTCTTAAATCTGTAATTTCTGTGTCATATAATTCCATGGACGTTGTTGCTGGCTTTTCAGTGCTTTAGCAGGTGCACACATCACTTCTGCAGATGAAGAGGTGATGTCCAAAAGTATTTTGGACCAACGGGACAACATAGTGGACATGAGAGAGTATGATGTGCCCTATCATGTCCGAGTCTCCATCGATCTCAAGATCCACGTGGTAAAGCAGGATTCTGTTTTTACAGGGTTTTTCAAATTGGTAGATTTGGTATCTGAGTTTTGTTTTTTTGTTTGTTTTTCACTGTCAAATTTTCTACCTCTCATCTTCAGGCTCACTGGTACAATGTTCGATACAGAGGCAGCAATTATCCACCAGAAATTGTGCGGAGGGAGGATCTTGTGGAGCGGCCGGTATCAGAATTTTGTCATAAACCTTTCATTATATCAGAGTCGACCTCAATAATTCACCAGGTTTATTTTGGTTTGAAAAAAAAAAATCTCAAATGAAAGCTGTTTTATCTTTCTCCAGGATCCCGTTGTTTTGGCCTTTGACATTGAGACCACCAAACTTCCACTAAAGTTCCCTGACGCAGAGACGGACCAGATTATGATGATCTCCTACATGATTGATGGACAGGTCAGTTTTATTCACTCCACACATTGTAGCCATTAATCTGCACTTATCAGACTCACTTCTTTTCCTACTGTTCTTTTTCACAGGGATTTCTGATCACAAACAGAGAGATTGTCTCAGAGAACATTGAGGATTTTGAGTTTACGCCCAAACCTGAATATGAAGGACCTTTCACGGTGTTCAATGAGGAAGATGAGGTGTGTAGTTGACGCCTTAAATGTGTCTATACATAGCTACAGAGTTTGAGTTTCCTATATAGTGATACATGTATGGACTTTTTTTCTCTGTAGGTTTACACAACATAAGAGGGCATTTGAAGTTTAAGACTTACTTTGTACTTAAATTTAGAATTTTGGATCAGATTAGATTATGGCCAGGAATTATATTCAGGCCCATATTTGTAATAGTGGTGGTTAGGACTAGGGTATGCATCATGTCTATGTAGTGCTCACAAAGCACAAAAGTGTTTGTGTGTCTCAGTGCAGTAACATAACATGATATTTATCTGCAGGCTGCACTTCTTAAACGGTGGTTTGATCACATCCATGAAACAAAACCCAACATCTTTGTTACGTACAATGGAGACTTCTTTGATTGGTGAAATGTTTTGTTTTACTAAATGTATATTAAGCACTACTGTATTTGTAAACCATGTTGTTTTAACCCGAGGCTCATTGTTTTCAATGTTAAGGCCTTTTGTTGAGACTCGAGCATCACTACATGGACTGACTATGCATAAGGAGATTGGTTTCCAGAAGGACAACCAGGGAGAGTACAAGTCCAGTCAGTCTATCCACATGGATTGTCTAAGGTTGGAACATTTTGGTTGCTGTAAACACTTGGGATTTTTTAATGGAAAATCTTTGTAGTCCTTTGAGTCAATTTCCTCTTTTTTCCTGTCAGGTGGGTAAAAAGAGACAGTTACTTGCCTGTTGGAAGTCACAACCTTAAGGCAGCAGCAAAGGCCAAACTGGGCTACGATCCAGTGGAGCTGGACCCAGAGGAAATGTGTCGTATGGCCACAGAGGAGCCACAGGTACAGGAATGGACTCTGCACATTGATATCCCCCTAACTCATGAAGATAAAATATTTTAATCAAATTTCTTTGTTCTATTTCTGTCAGACCCTAGCAACCTACTCTGTGTCAGACGCTGTGGCCACGTATTACCTGTACATGAAATACGTTCATCCTTTCATATTTGCTCTGTGCACCATCATCCCCATGGAGCCTGATGAGGTTTGTTTCAGGAGGAATTATTGACTTGTCCTCCCAGACAAAGACCTTTGTACAATACACTGTACCTGAACAGTTCTGTTTCTGCGCTCTCCTGTCACCAGGTGCTGCGTAAAGGCTCTGGGACTCTGTGTGAAGCCTTGCTTATGGTGCAGGCCTTTCACGCCAACATCGTCTTTCCCAACAAACAAGAACAGATTTTCAACAAACTGACAGATGATGGACATGTCATGGACTCAGAGACCTACGTGGGTGGCCACGTGGAGGCACTGGAGTCCGGAGTGTTTCGTAGTGACATCCCCTGTCGTTTTAAAATGGTTAGCTTGTTCCAGGTCTACTTTATGATCTTTTTTTTTTTTTTTTACATCTAGTTATCTTTTGTCATAATTTGCACCCGTTACTTTACAGAACCCTGCAGCATTTGACTTCCTGCTACAGAGAGTTGAAAGAACAATGCGTCACGCTATTGAGGAAGAGGAGAAAGTACCTTTGGAGCAGGTCACAAACTTCAGTGAGGTAGAACTTTTATTATCATGTCTCTTAAGTTTCCTTTAAAAAGTCATGCCTGCCCCTTTACAGGGATTGGCTCCAGTTTCCCCATTAAATCCTCAACTCTGGCCATGTCTTAGGTATGTGATGATATCAAGAAGAAACTGATTTCACTGAAGGAAGTACCCAACAGGATTGAATGTCCCCTCATTTACCATCTGGACGTGGGGGCCATGTACCCCAACATTATTCTCACTAACCGGTTACAGGTAAAAACTCTTTTTCCATTTCTAAAATGTGTATTTGTACAAGTTACATTAATTATTTAAAATATCCTCTCCAAGCAATGACCAACCAAATTGAGGCTTTTTTTTGTTCTTTGCAGCCATCTGCAATGGTTGATGAAGTCACATGCGCTGCCTGTGACTTTAACAAACCTGGAGCCTTGTGTCAGAGGAAGATGGCCTGGCAGTGGAGAGGAGAAATCAGTATGTCAACCTCTGTTCATTGTCCTGCAGTGTCTAATTATAAGAGTGTATGAGAAAGAAAAAATGTGGTATTGTATGAGGAAGTAAGGAGTGGCAGAGAAGTACGTTAGTTTGGTGCAGGGCATGTATGAGAATAGTACAACAGTAGTGAGGTGTGCTGTTGGAAGGACAGATGACTTCAAGGTGGAGGTGGGACTACATCAAGCATCGGCCCTGAGCCCCTTCTTGTTTGCTGTGGTGATGGACAGATTGACAGATGAGGTCAGACAGGAGTCCCCATGGACTATGATGTTTGCAGATGACATTGTGATCTGTAGTGAGAGTAGGCAGAAGCTAGAAGAGAACCTAGAGAGGTGGAGGTTTGCAC